GTTTTTATCCTTAGATTCATTTTTATCAAAACCTATTCCTTCCTTAGAAAAATGCATAGTGTCAAGGAGTAAGTTAAGATCTTTGTGTGGTGTATTGAATTTCTTAACCGTACTCTCAAGTTTTGCAACCTTTTCTTTTAAAGCTTTGCAAGATTCACATTCGCTTGAAGAGCTTTCTGGTTTGTCAGCGCTTCTTTTGCCATAAAATTTATTTTCTTGTTTCAACTTTTCATTATCTTTTTCTAGTTTTTCAAAATCATTTTCAAGAGTTGAAAGACGTTTTTTCAATGATTTGTTGGTTTTAGAAGCGCTAACAAATTCATCATAAAGCTCTCGAAGTGCTGCTTGCATCTCTTCAAAAGTGTAAGAGTCGGAAGAAGGGGTACAAACCTCTTGTACTTTGTCGGCATGGTCTTCGTGTGCCATGAGACAAAGGTTGGCGGCTTCTTCCTCTTCTTGGTCAGTTGACTCGTCGCCGGAGTCGCCACCCCATGAGATATAGGCACGTTGCTTTTTGAAGCCAGGTTTGTCCTTGCCGCTTTTGCCTTTTAGACACCTCGGCTTGATGTGGCCTATCTCGCCACAGCCATAGCACTTCGGGGTACCGTCGTGCTTTCTTCCTTTCCGTTCAAATTCCTTCTTCATGAATTTGTGAAATTTCTTGATGACGAGTCCGAACTCGTTGTCGTCATCGCTTGAGACTTCTTCCACGGTCTCCTTGGTTGCTTTGAGCGCTATTCCTTTCTTCTTTTGTTCATCCAAAGACGGGGTTAGAATAGTAGATTCATAAGTTTTGAGGTTACCTGTTAGCCCGTCGATGGTGACGTTGGAGACTCCGATGGATTCGTAGATTGCGTCAGCCTTTGATCTCCATTCGGGTGTGAGACTCCGCAGGATTTTCCTCACGAGATCCTTGTTGGCGTAAGTCTTCTTGAGGGAATGAAGGTTGTTGATGATCTTGGAGAACCGATCGAACATGTCATCGATCTTTCCGCCTTCCTTCATCCTAAACATCTCGTACTCCTGTGTTAGGAAGTCAATTTTGGCTTCCCGAACTTGGTCCGTACCTTTGTGTTGGCCTTGAATGCCGTACCCCGTAACCGTTTTGATGTGCCAAATAAGTCTTCCAAATGCTACTAACATCATTTGCAGGGAGAAACCAAACGCCAAACCTCTATTAGCTTGTTTAGCATCACTGAGATATACTCCTACGAGTTTAGAAATTGTTGTGTAAAGGTAATAATATATTTTAATGATTTACTTATGCCCTTTCACTCAAAAATTAATTTTAAATGTCAAATATATTATTAGTTGGGGTCATTTTGAAAACAGAACACGAAAAACGAGTTTTGGAAAATTTACACTGGCCTAACGGTACCAGGCTACCATGTACACGGCACCAGGGTACCGCCGGTAGCCAAGTGAACGTACCATGGCACGTTTCACTGAAGAGGTACACGGTACCTGTTGGCCTTGAATGCCGTACCCCGTAACCGTTTTGATGTGCCAAATAAGTCTTCCAAATGCTACTAACATCATTTGCAGGAAGAAACCAAACGCCAAACCTCTATTAGCTTGTTTAGCATCACCGAGATATACTCCTACGAGTTTAGAAATTATTGTGTAAAGGTGATAATATATATTTTAATGATTTACTTATGCCCTTTCACTCAAAAATTAATTTTAAATGTCAAATATATTCTAAGTTGGGGTCATTTTGAAAACGGAACACGAAAAACGTGTTTTGGAAAATTTACACTGGCCTAACGGTACCAGGCTACCGTGTACACGGCACCAGGATACCGCCAGTAGCCAAGTGAACGTACCGTAGCACGTTTCACTGAAGAGGTACACGGTACTCCCTACCGTGTAACGGTACCTAGGTACCGGACGGAAGGCTGAGACGGATGGTTACCCCCGTCCTAACCAGGTACCGCCAGAGGCGAACCAAACTTTAGGCATACACGGTACCCCCAAACGGTAGGCTATACCGTGGGTCACGGTACCTAGGTACCGGACGGCACTGACCCTACCGTGAAGGGTACCGGATCCGTTGGCAGCACTGTAGCAAATTGCCAATTTAAATTCAAATCACCCCTAATCACTTCCTAACGGCATTTAACGTCAAAAACTCAAATTTTAACATTCCAAACTCCTATATAAACCCCCTTTAAGCCTCATTTTAAAAACAACAACTTCCCAATTAATTCTAAAGCCTCT